CACCACGTCAGGGTTAGGACGTGGAGGTCTCTGGGGACGTGATTCCGCCCGCTCTTGGGTGACAGGAGCACGGCAGTGACATTGACACGTATGTTCCCTCTGCCGTTGGAACTGTCATCTGCATGGAGACCTGAAACTCTGGTGATGAGAAGTGGGAGGAGAAGGGGTGGGGCTGGCGGAGCGTGAGGTAGGTTGTCTGCAGCACTGGGTACCTCTCTCTCCTTCCTGTTTCAGGCGGGCTGTTTGTGGCGGGCATCAACCTGACAGAGAACCTGGCGTATGTCCTCGGGCACCCGTCCCAGTCCCTCAGGAAGATGACCCTCCCGAACCTGCCGTACCTGAGCGCATGGGTCCGGGAGCAGTGCCCTGGGCCGGGCGCACGGTGCACCAACATCATCGCGGGCGACTTCATCGGTGCGGACACGTTTGTGGGCGACGTCATAAGACTCAACGAGAAGCTGCTGAGATGCTCACATGTCCCTTTTGCAGCTCACATGGAGTGCGGGCGGGAAGAGTGGGTCCGGGGCGGGGTCCCTGCCTCCCCCTGACGTCAGGGCAGCCCTGTTGGTGGCACCTGGTCTCACCGTTCTTCTGCGTTGCTGGGGTGGATCACAGAACACGCTGATGATCAATGGTGGTATGTGCTTGCATCCTGAGAGGAAGAATGACCCGGAACTGGAGTCTGCTCCTGTAGGTTCAGCCCCGGCTGTGCTGTGGTTGCCATGGGTTGTCCCTTCCCCTGGGGCCTTGAGGGCAGCAGGATGACATCCCAACAGCTTCCTGGAGCCACGTGAAGCCCATCATATCATGTCTGTTGGGTAGGACTGGGTGTACTGGAACCCCACTGAGAAAACCACGAAAACGGGGAAAACCTACTTGTAATTCTGATGGCATCACGGCCTGTGTGTTTTCCCTGAGGACCGTGGGCCCCATGGGGCTGGTTTCACTTTGGCTTCTCTGATGGTAACATAAGGACCGTTAGGGACTGTTTGATGGCGAGTGGTGTTGCACACATGCTCCTTCCCACTTCCAGAGGCCCCGTGTAGCGCTCTCTTCGAGGAAGTGTGGGGACACGGGTGTGACAGGCAGCTCCACGCCCACGCCGGGGGCTGCCGTGGCATCCCTGTCCTCACACCCATCCCCTGGAGCGGCAAGTCTGTGCTCCTCCCACCCCCTTCCTCTGCTCGGCATGTCAGCCCTGATGGGAGGCTGCCTTCAAGCATCTCCAAAATGAAGCCGATGGTCTGTGGTGTTGGCCGCCTGTCACTGTTCCCTTCTCCCAAGGCCACACTGGGCGTTTCTCACTTTTCCCATATCTCCATTCCACGGTTTCTTAGAGTCCGTCCATCTGTGTCTATTTGCCACCCATTTCTCACAGCGCCAAAGATGTTAACTGTATTTTCTTCTTTTCTGTGTCCTCATGCTCTGGAGTTTGGGGACCAGAATGGTGAACGGTGAGACCGCCCCTATCAGGGCTAGCTGATTCCCACAGACAGAAACGACGTACTTGGGAGCACGCGTCTTCTGTGGAAATGCAGCGCCCCATCCTCCAACGCTCATGCGCCACACGGATGCGGGTACGCTCCAGAGCTCACAGGCTGAACCGATTCTCGTGCTCCTTGGACACAGGGCGGGATTGGTTCCAGCAAGACTGCAATAAAGCGAGTCAAATGAGTTTTTTGGTTTCCCAGTGCACATGGACGTTATGTTTACACTATTGTCTATTAAGCGTGCAATTGTATGACACCTAAAGTGTATACGTGCCTTAATTAAAATGTGTTATTGCTTAAAAATGCTAACCGTCTGAGTTGTCAGGGAGTCGTAACCACTGGCCACAGATAACCACAACAAATAGACTCATAAGCAAAAGTTGGAACCGGAATTACACAGAATGGGATGCAGAGACATGAAGTGAGTGGACACTGTTGGAAGAGTGGCACCTGCAGCCTCGGCCAGCCTTCCATTGGTCAGACACACGGTATCTGGGAAGCGCCGAGAGGCAAGCTGCGCCTGATTTCCTGCTACCCCAGTCTTCCGGGGCGGGGGCCTGTCACCCAGAGCCCGCCACCACTACTCACGCTGGACAGCTGCCCCGAGTGCTCTCTCCCACCTTGCCTTTCCCATGGAAACCCTCACGCCCCAAAATGTGTTTTCCCTGTGGCCTCAGGGGGCACTCGCCCCTGTCTTGGGAGACGGGAGTCATTAAATTCTTCTTTCGGTGGTTGGCCTCAGCCACCTCCATGAGTCAAAAGCCCAGGGGCCCGGATGAGACGCCCCCCGCCATGGGCGGCCAGGCATTGTGTTAGAGGCCTTGGCTCTGCTTCCCGGTACCCAGGGTTCCAACTTCATGACCCCAAAGGTCACAGAAGTCACTCCTTTTGCATATGAGGGTTATGGAGCGGCTGGTTTCCAATTCTCGGCCAAATGGGAATCGCAATTGTACTATCTTATTTTTCTTCCCATGTTAACATGGGATCCAGGAGTTTCTGTGTATCTCGTGTTCTGGAATATTCCTCCTAAGATGGAACAGCACTAGACATTAGGTCTTCTTAGGATATAGTCTTGAAAATGATACTGTAACACAAGGACCACCATTTCTATGTCTGATCCACGAGTACCTTGTCTTAGTGTCAGGAACAGTCCACGTGATCATTTAATCCCAGAGGACGATCGACAAAGTCGGACGTGTTTGTGCATTTTTGTTTTCGTCATTCAAGCGACCAAAACATCTGGGCAACGCACGGGAGGGTCTGTACAAGCGTGATGTTCAGTGAGCACGTTCTGCAGGTCACAGAGAGCTTTGTTCAAAAATCGTGCTGGGCCACAGTTTATTGTTGCTTTGGAAATTAAAACAGTGGATGAGGGCACCTGGGTGGCTCAGTCGTTAAGCGACTACCTTCGGCTCAGGTCATGATCTCAGGGTCCTGGGATCGAGCCCCACATCGGGCTCCCTGTTCAGCCAGAGGCCTGCTTCTCCCTCTCCCACTCCCCCTGCTTGTGTTCCCTCTCTCGCTGTGTCTCTCTCTGTCAAATAAAAAAATATATATATATTAACAAACAGAAACAGTGGATGAAAAATTTTTTTTAACATTTTATTTATTTGAGAGAGAGCGAGAGCGTGAGCACGAATGGGGGGCAGAGGCAGAGGGAGAAGCAGACTCCCCGCTAAGCAGGAAAACGGACGTGGGGCTCGATCCCCGGACCCTGAGATCACGACCTGAAGCGAAGGCAGACGCTTCACTGACTGAGCCACCCAGGCGCCCCTGGATGCAACTTTTGAGTTCTGTGGTATTTTAAGTTCCTCAGTGTGGACATGAAGGAAAGATTCCACACTAGATTTTACCTTTTTTTTTAATTAAAAAAAAAACTTTTCTAAAGATTTTATTTATTTTTCACAGAGAGAGAGAGAGAGCTCAAGCAAGGAGATTGGGAGAGGGAGAAGCAGGCTTCCCGCGGAGCAGGGAGCTCGATGCGGGGCTCGATCCCGGGACCCTGGGACCGTGACCTGAGCCGAAGGCAGACGCTTAACGACTGAGCCACCCAGGTGCCCTGAAGATTTTACTTTTAAGTAAACTCTGCACCCAACGTGAGGCTCAAACCTACAACCCCAAGGTCCACAGACTGGACCAGCCAGACGTCCCCCTGGCCTTGTGTAGTTAATTTTAAGGATGAGACTTGTATCTGAGGGGTGAGCTCTCTCAGGGATCTGCCTGGCAGACGACAACGTCGTGGCTGAAGGTGTGGACGGTGAGCCCACAGAGGAGGAGGTGGTGTGGTTCAGCTCTTCACAGCGCCCAGCAGGGTGCGTGGTCGGCTGGGTGAACGACCATCTCGTGATGGCGGCTCTGGGTCAAGCCTGTATTTGGTCTTTCCTCCTTCCCACATCAGATCTGTGGTGGGCGCGCTGCGGGGCTTTGGGTGGGTCCCCTTCCTCCAGCGACTGCCTCCCTCCCAGTACGTGGCTTTGTTCTCAGGCCCCGGCTCCTCTGGGCACGGTGGGCCCCGGAGTTGGGAGGGGAGAAGCCCATCTGCAGACAGAGGGGTCTTGGGGAAGCCTGGGTGCTGGCAGGGGGAGCGGGGTGGGGAGCGGTCTTGTACCTGTTCTCCCCAATGGGAAGCTCGAAACTGTGTGGCCCCCAAAACCTGTGGCCCTCCCTCCCAGGCCCCAGAAGCCCCCTGACTCTTCCTCCCAGGCCCCCCGGGGCCCCCAACCCTCTGTTGCAGGCCCCCTGGAGCCCCCAGCCACCTCCTCAGCAAGACCCCACTTTGCTAAGCATCCACAGTGGATGTCAGTATCCTGCAGTCTCCAGGCCTTGGGGTGGGGCCTTTGGGACGGGGCGGGGATACCAGGCGGTGGGGGGGGGTGGTGCCCGAAGGAGATGAGGGACCAGAGGCCTGACCCACGCCCACCCCTTCCTTGTGTCTCTTGCACAGGGAGGAACTGGGGTGGAGCGGTCAGATCCTGGAGAGGGGGTCTGGGGAGATGTATGTGCCCCTGGCGTAGGGACCGGGCAGAACATGGCCGAGGGGGCTCAGGGCAGAGTGGGGCACACACCCAGGGGCATGTGGACCGGGCTGGGCCTCGGGGGTTGGGGCGGCCTATGCAGGATGCTTCCCGGCCCCCTGGGGTCTGTTCGGAGACCCCGTAGGAGCAAATCCCCCAGGGCCGAGCTGAGGGAAGCAGAAAGCCTGGCGGGTCTCCTGGACTGATCAGCCTTCTCGGAGGCGGCAGGTGTCCTGACGCTCCAGCCACGCCTGGGCCATCCTGCAGCCCGCCCCGGCCACTGGGCCGACTGGGACAGTGCTGCAGGACTTCACGCCTGCCCCAGCCATTGAGAAGGCCGGACAGTTCTGCGAGGGGCCTCACACTCCCCCGTCCACTGAGCCGGCCCGGACGGTGCTGCGGGACCTCGCGCCCCCGTCCACTGAGCCGGCTTGGACGGTGCTGGGGGACCTCATGCCCCCCCGTCCACTGAGCTGGCCCAGACGGTGCTGGGGGACCTCGCTCTCCCCCGTCCACTGAGCCGGCCTGGACGGTGCTGGGGGACCTCGCTCTCCCCAGTGCACTGAGCTGGCCCAGACGGTGCTGGGGGACCTCACGCCCCCATCCACTGAGCCAGCCCGGACGGGGCTGGGGGACCTCGCTCTCCCCAGTGCACTGAGCCGGCCCAGATGGGGCTGGGGGACCTCGCTCTCCCCCGTCCACTGAGCCGGCCTGGACGGTGCTGGGGGACCTCGCTCTCCCCAGTGCACCGAGCTGGCCCAGACGGTGCTGGGGGACCTCGCACGCCCCCATCCACTGAGCCAGCCCGGACGGGGCTGGGGGACCTCGCTCTCCCCAGTGCACTGAGCCGGCCCAGACGGGGCTGGGGGACCTCGCTCTCCCCAGTCTACTGAGACGGCCCGGACGGTGCTGGGGGACCTCGTGCCCCCGTCCACTGAGCCGGCCCGGACGGTGCTGGGGGACCTTGCGCCCCTGTCCACTGAGCCGGCCCGGACGGGGCTGGGGGACCTCGCTCTCCCCAGTCCACTGAGCCGGCCCAGACAGTGCTGCAGGAACTCGTGCCCCCCAGTCCACTCAGCCGGCCCAGACGGTGCTGGGGTCCTTGCGCCCCCGTCCACTGAGCCGGCCCGGACAGTGCTGGGGGACCTCACACCATCCCCGTCCACTGTGTGGGCCCGACAGCACAGGGGACCTTGTATCAGCTCCACACTCAGCCCTCGGGGCCCCTGTGGGAGGAGTGGGTGAGGCCGTCCCAGCACACAGCCAGCTCGCGGGGCGCTGTCATCCAGTCCTGTCCGCCGATACCCCAGGACCCCGCTCGTGAGTGTCCTGGGGCCGCTGGAACAGATGATCACATGTGGGGGCTTCAGAGCACAGATATTCTCAAAATGGTTCTGGAAGCCAGGGCGCTGACATGGGTCTCCCTGGGCCAACGTTGGGGGCTGGGTCCTTCTGGCAAGAACCCGGCTTCCGCGCTCCCTGCCTTCCTCAATCCTGGCTCCTCCTCATTCTTCCACACCAGCACCGCGGGGACCTCAGTTTCCCCAACTCAGCCTCTGCTCTGTCCTCACGTCTCAGGACTCGAGTAAGGAGAAGGCTCTCCCATCTTCAGGAAAGACACACCCCCCCCTGCATGCCCCGAGGCAAGCTACGGATTTTCTTTTTTTAATTTTTAATCCCTGAATGCTGAAATCTGGAATCACTCACAAAACACTGCTGTAAGGGTGACCACACATCGAAAGGGGAAAATGAAGTAAAACACTTTCCAGGGCGGCAACAGAGAGGCCTCTCACGTCAGCGTTCCCTCCAGAACATGGGCAACGACAGCACGCTCAGACGTGTACTAACGTCTTTAAAAGCGGAGGGACGAGTGTCCAGTTCTGCGCCCCAGGGTGGGTGTCCTGGGGCCTGTGGTGAAGACAGCCCAGGTCCGTGACAGGCCGTGGGAAAGGCGAGGTCCCTCCTGTCTCTGCCACGTCAGAGCCGGCCGGCTGTGAGCGCAGAGCATCCTGGCTTTGTGCTGAATCAATGACACACCGTGTTTTCTCCTTGACCCGTGCAGAGAGGCTTCTGGGTGGCCGGGAGACGGTCACAATGTCCAGGACGCTCCATGGGGAGCAGCGAGGCCTGACAGCTGTGAGTCTGTGACACACACCAGATGCGGAAACCCCCAACTGGCCCCGTCACAGCCACCACAGGCAGAACTTCCTGCAGGGCGGCCCACACACGGAAGAAGCAGGAAGACTGGTTTACAAACATGAGCAGAGCTCTGAATATTTTGTAGCCAAAACCCTGCGGGAGGGATGTCAGCTCTCACGAGACATGCACGATCCCCCAGGAACCAGAACCGCTCAGTCCGTCCGCCTGCAACCTGAGCTTTGGCTTCCAGGCACAGGAGGCAGCCACCAGCCCTTCCACCCAGAGCAGCCACGGAGGGGACGGCGGCTGCTTCAGCGGACGGCTGAACCCACACAGTGTCCACTCACTCGGGGAAGAGCTTCCTGAACTTGCCGTAGGCAGAGCTGCTGATGACGACCCTGACGTCGGCCACGCCGGCCTCGGGAATCACGTCCACCTCCTGCACCGTGGCCTCCCGATGCAGCCAGCTGAGGACGTGAGGAAGGGGAGCATTCTGTAAGGACGTGTTTGCAGGAACTGTTTCCCCCAGGGAGCTCCGCCCCCGAGCCCGCACACGACCTTGTCGTCACTGCCCACGGCCCGGGAACGCCTGGCACGCCAACAGCCGGCCGGCGCCCGCACGTGGGGTGATTAACCCAGATTCACGGCAACTCAGAAACGACGCGGCCCCTCTGTGGGCTGGCGCCTTGCCTGTTCCGCTGCCTTTCCCACACCTGCACACCCTGCATGGCCACAGCAGGCCACGGCCACGGCCCCCGCCGGGCCAGCCCCACGCACCTCAGCTGCGTGCCTGCCAGCCGGACCCGCAGAGTGAGGACCTGTCTTCCCGTGGCTCTCAGAACGGCGTCTTCCAGCCGGGTTTTCAGCTCCGGGAGCCCATGCCCCAGGAGAGCGGACACGGTGACGGCCTGTGGTCCCGCCGGGCTATACCTGTGTGGGGGCAGCCAGCAGACCCTGCTCAGTCTCAGGAAGACGGAGTGAGGGTCCCCCAGGGGCCCCCGCCCACAGGCCCCCACTGTGACCCCCTCCGTGTGTGTCAGGAGAGGACGCAGCCCCGTCGGACAGGAACACAGAGGAAACCATGATGAGGATGCAGTGAGATATGGGGTCTGTGCGGGCGAGGGGGCTCAGAACCACCCCAAAATATGCTGCTCTGGTGGCCTGCTGAATCTTGTGAGTTACAGCCCTTCACAGCAGGCAGGTGGGGGGAAGGGCACTCTACCTCCCCTTTTCTTCCTGAAAGCAGGGGAGGACGCTCCACGGGAGGACGCTCCACGGGAAGCCGCGTCCAGCGCCTGGATGACAGCAGCCTGCTGTTACCAGCCACGTCGAGGCCCCCATCACACAGGTGCATCACCGGTACTCGCCAGGAATGAGGCTCCAAGGTCATGGGGCAGTGGGCGGGTCCACTCACCCGGGCACCAGGTCCACCTTGTTATGAACTTCCAGCACGGAGTCCAGGAGTGGGGCGGGCAGGTGTAGGCCGTGCAGGGTGGACAGAACGCTGGCTTTCTGCAGCTCCGTCTCAGGGTGGCTCACGTCTCTCACGTGGACGATCAGATCCTGAGGAACAGAAAAGCCACATGGTGGGGACAAGGGTGGGACGGGACACTGGTCCTCAACCCCCCCCACGGGAGGACCCGCCCAGATGGGGGCTCTGATGGGCACCGCACGCCCAGGTGGGAGTGGGGCGGCGTCCCGTGCAGTCCGCGGCGCCGGTGAGGTGCGTGGGACCTGGGGGTGGGAGCTCCCTGAGACCAGAGTGGGCCCGTGGCTCACCCGGTGCCCCTTACGCGGGGTCTCGCCCTGGCCAGGCCACTCCCCTATACCTAACCCAGGGCCTTGGGCGTCTCACCCGTCTCAAACCGACCCAGGGCCTTGGGCGTCTCACCCGTCTCAAACCGACCCAGGGCCTTGGGCGTCTCACCCGTCTCAAACCGACACACACCTGCACACTCGCTGTGAACCTTCCAGAGCCTGAGTTACGCTGAATTTTTTTTTTTTTTTAGATTTTATTTATTTGTTTGACAGAGAGAGAGACAGCGAGAGCAGAAACACAAGCAGGGGGAGTGGGAGAGGGAGAAGCAGGCTTCCCGCTAAGCAGGGAGCCCGATGTGGGACTTGATCCCAGGACCCTGGGATCATGACCTGAGCTGAAGGCAGACGCTTAACGACTGAGCCACCCAGGCGCCCAGTTACGCTGAATTTTAAAGAATTGTTTTTGCCTGATTTTAAGTGGTTTACAGGTAGGGGTCTGACGCAGAATTGGGAAAATGCAGAAAAGAAAAAGAGTAAGAACTGACTGTAATTCTGCCCCTGCAAACAGAGGGGCCACTTACATTCCAGGATGTTCGCTTCCAGGTTTTAGAGGCACTTAAAATTAAGACAAAGATAAGCATTTTATTCCAGAAACATTTGTTTTAGGAAATGCGGACAGTGAGGTGGCGTGCTCTTCTGACTACGCTCCTGGTCTGGAGTCGCCTGGCTCTTACTTTCCGTCCTGGGACACCCTCCACGACATGTGTTACATTCGTCTGTCACCTCTCCTTGGCCCCTCTGAACCCAGACCGTGTTGAGCACCGTGTGGGCATTTGTGGGACGCCCTTCAGTTGGGGTTTCTCTGGTTGTTTCCTTGTGTTGCCACTAGGTTTGGGGTTTGGGTGGAAGCCCCAAGAGAACGTGCCCTTCAATCACATCACCCCAAAGCTGCACACAAAGGCTGACCTGAGGGCCAGGGGCCAGCTGTCACAGGTCTCCCCGCAGAGCAGCTCCACCTCCTTCCGGAATTAGTCTTAGAAGAGGTCACTAGGCAGGGCTCGCTCTCACGGTAAGTGAGGGCGCCAGCTTCCTGAGGGGGTGGAATGTGAGTCCCCAGGGTTGTGTCATGTATGAGGAGACCTGGCGTCTGGGTTGTGTTGTGTTGTGTATGAAGATAACCCAGGCCACAGCGCTGTGTCATGTATTATGATGACATCCGGCCCCCATGCTGTATTATATGCGAGGGGACCTGGTCCTCGGGCTGTATCGTGTGAGGGGACCTGGTTCCTGGGGTCACACTGTGAACAAGGGGAATCCAGTCCTCGGGTTTTATCATGTGTGAGGGGGCCCGGTCCCTGGGTTGTATCGTGTGAGGGGACCTGGTTCCTGGGGTCACATTGTGAATGAGGGGAATCCAGTCCTCGGGCTTTATCATGTGTGAGGGGGCCCAGTCCCTGGGTTGTGTCATGCGTGAGGGGATCCACCCATCATGTTGTGTCATGTGTGAGGGAGCCTGGTCCCCATGTCCTATCAGGTATGAGGAGACCTGGTCCCCAGGGCTGTGTCATGAATGAGGGGACCCAGTCCCCAGCTTGTTTCATGTGCGAGGGGATCTGGTCCCCAGGATTGTGTTGTGTCTGAGGGGAACCAGTCCCAGGTTATTCAGGTGATTTCAGTAACTCAGCCCCTGGGATCATCGCACACTCACTGAATGAGCCACGTCTTCCAGGGTAGCGGAGAAGGACTCAATCAGGCTGTGGGGCAGCTCGGAGAGGAAGCCGATGGTGTCCATGTAAATGACAGCCATGCGGGAGGGCAGCCACCCAGCATGGGCTGTGACGTCCAGTGTCGCAAACAGCTGATCCCGGGGCTGGACAGCATCATCGCCTGTCAGGGCCTTAATCAGCGTGGTTTTTCCTGGAAGGTGGGTCACAGGGGACACACTGCATGAAAGGCCCCCTCACATGTGCCCCATGGTCTACTGCTGCACCACGGGCGGCTCCCCGTCCAAGCCACATGCCTCTCGCAGAGGGGGTGGCCAAGATTTGTTAAGATCTCTGAGCTCCTAGATCTCTGTAGTACCCTTAGGATGCCTTATGTGGGCAACAGGAGGATGCTGCTATGCCTCTCGTGCACGCGGGTCAAGAGGGCCAGGGCCTGGGGTATGAGGGCCTACTTACAGGAGAGTGATGGTGTAGACTGGGTGGTGATGTGTGTGAATGTGGGGGGGGGGATGGGCATCCGTGCAGATGAGGGTAATGGTGTAGACAGGGTGGTCATTATTTGTACGTGTGAGTGACACGGGATTGGCATTTACGTAGACAAGGCAGGTGCTTTGTTTGCCTAAGATACAATGGGGATCTATATAGAGGAAAGCGATAGTGTAGACAGGGGTGATGGTGGAGTAGGAATTTCTGTGCTGTGTGTGGGAGGGGGGCTCGGTATCAGCGTAGATGGGCGTGATGGTGGAGTGAGATGCGTGTGTTGTGTGGGGTGGCTGGGCGTCTCTGTAGACGAGGGTGATGGTGGTGTGGGGGTGTGTGTGCTGTGTCTGTGAGGAGGTCTGGGCATCTGTGTAGACGGGGTGATGGAGTGGGGGTGCGTGTGCTGTGTGAGGGGGGCTGGGCGTCTGTGTAGACCGGGGTGAAGGTGGAGTGGAGGTGTGTGTGCTGTGTGAGGGGGGCTGGGCGTCTGTGTAGACGGGGTGATGGTGGAGTGGGGTGCGTGTGCTGTGTGAGGGGGGCTGGGCATCTGTGTAGACAGGGTGATGGTGGAGTGGGGGGTGCGTGTGCTGTGTGAGGGGGGCTGGGCATCTGTGTAGACGGGGTGATGGTGGATTGGGGGTATGTGTGCTGTGTGAGGGGTTTGGGCGTCTGTGTAGAC